TTAAATCCATTGCAGAGTCATGCTGATCATTAAATTCACTGCTGGCCACACAAACACTGAACGCAATTTGCAGTTGCTCTGAAATAAGAGAATCAGAACAAGGACCTGCCCTGAAATCACAGAATAATGGAGTCAGGAGGGGCCTGTAAGGCCATTGAGTCCAACCCCCTGCTCAATACAGGAATCCAAATCGCAGGGAACAGGTGATGCTAACATGGCAAACTCAGTGCTAACTCACCAGTCAACCATTGGTTCAATAGCGTGAGATTTGCCATTGGATTCAGGCCTTCATCTTTTTCATTGCATACTGCAAAAAAGATTACTTTAATCCTCGGATCCATTCCCTCAGTAGTTACTGTACCCTGCAACTGGTCAGCCTGCTCTTCCTGTGATGATGAAAGCCTATTTCATAGATCCTGCTAGGTATCGGCACTGCAGTGAACGGTTTCTCACACGGGCATTCTAAGCTGGTACCATTTTGGACATAGCTGTGTCTAGGCATTAGGAAATTCACAGAGCTGAAATACCCAGTACTTGAATTTCCACTGGATGGGATATGGATGCTGGCAAATCCTCCTTCCCTAAAATAATCGGCGATAAACACCAACTGGATTAGGGTTTCGCTAATGGCCTTAACAGGAAATCCAATGCTGGGGAACTAAACCTCACAGCCTGCTCCACGAGAGATAATTCATCTGCCTTGATGGGGGAAAGGTGAGCATCAGGAGTGGCTCGCTGATGCTCCGCATGAAAGGGAAAACGCAACAGCTGCCTCCGACTGTGTACAGAGACTTACATTCCTGTAATGAAAAGCGCTTTCACAGCAAAAGCCTATCCAGTGCCAAGACACCAGCATATTCCCTTTTTGTTTGGCCCGAACTGCTTGCCTCTCAGAACAAAGAAACCTGGCAAACTCTGAAGAAAGCAAGCAACCACTGTGCATAGTCAGCAGAGTCCTTGCAAAAGTTAAAGAGTGAGGCAGGGAGAGGTACGATCACACGAATATATGGAATGATTTTGATGCCCATTGCGAGATGGACAGATGCTTCATTTTGGATAGTATTCTCTTAGCTAGATGGATCAGCGGAATCCTGAACTGACCAGATTAAAGTTGCCTTGTCTAAATGACTTATTCAGAATGGTATCAGGAGCATGCTTTGCAAACTTATGAATTGCACAAGCAGCCTGTTTGTCAAATACCCACACATATCCAGGTTGTGCATTGGGTTGCACCCTCAGTCACATGGCCAGGGGCATGATAAATGGCCTGCAAAAGGCAAACAACTCTTTGCATGCCCCCCCTTCTGTGTGCAACATTTTTCAGTGGGAGTTTGAGCTGGAGTTTTAACAACGTTGCATGCTGTCTGTTTTTGTTGTGGCTAGGAAGGACCTTTCTGGCCTGGGCTGGCTGTCAATCTGTCCAGTCTAACCAATCATTCCCTCCAACCTCAGAATTCAATGAAAGCATTTGCCTCTCTGCTCTGTGTTCTCCAATCGTTCCCTCCCACCTCTGAATTCAATGAAAGCATTTGCCTCTCTTCTCTGTGCTCTCCTTTCCCTCGCTTCAGTCAGTTGGAGTCAGTTGTTTGTTTGCTGTTGATCTGTTAACATCAGTTGGAGTCAGTTGTTTGTTTGCTGTTGGTCTGTTAACAACTGTAAGCAATGAAATGCTTTTATTCTTTCTCCTACAAATGTCTCAAGAGTGAATTACTGAGACTGTTAAATTCCAGTTAATGAGAAAGGGGTGGACTATCTGGGGAACTTGAAGCTATTTTCTTTGGCGAGTCTCTGTATTTCTAAGCCATAGCAAAAGGAATTTCAACCACAAATTCAACACTCTCACATTTTGTCTATTGAAACTACAATTCTTTTTGCTAGGGATGTTTGGAAGTGAGCGCTGACCCTAAAGCAGTCAGCACCCACACAAGAGTGAGGTATCCAGTTATAGACCCTGATGGTTGCAAAGTGTTAATTCTTTTTTGGGGGGGAAAATCTCCAAATGTTCCAGTGACGACTAAGCATGTTCATTTCTTACTGGCTGTTGAAAGAAGGGAGAAATGGAATGGCATGTCCTGGAGGAGGTTGCAGAAGTCTGGCTCCTTGTATACCAGAAGACATTGAAAAGGCATTCCTATGCTATGGGGCCAAAACATGGATTCCTCTAAATGCATTTGGATCATCTCCCCGATGGCTCTACTCTTTGGACTTACACTGAACTAGCACAGTGGTTTTCAAAAATTCAAGGGAATCCTCCCATGCCTGCCTCGGAATCCTTTGCAACAAAGCTTGGAAATGAGATTCCTTGGACTACAACTCCCAGAACCCCCTAGCTAGCCTGGCAATTGATTCAGAGCCAAGGTAGTGATCTGGAGATCAAACAGCTCCATGAGTGTTCCATCATACTTTGAAATCCGCTTCACTAGCTCTGATTTCATTTGACCTTTGAACCCCCTTCTTCCTTTTCTAGAGTACACCCCTATTGAGCTCTCCTGGGTGGGCTTTCTTGGGACAACTTCCAAAACTACAAAGAATTCTGGCTCCACTGAAGTTAAAGTGGATCTAAAATTGATTCAGAAATGAATAACAAGAGTAAGCCCTCATCACTCCTTCATAGCTCTCTTGATTCTTCCATTTAAGAGGAAATTCTAAAATGCAGTCTGAAGACATTTAAAGGGGGAGGGGAGTAATTTAGAAAAAAAAGTGTGTGTGTGCATTTGCATATGCCTATATGAGTGTATCAGAATGGCAGGGTAAACGTGCTTCAAGTTTAAAAGCAGGACCCACCATCAACAATTTGTTTGAAAATATAAAAAGGGAAATATCTTAAATAATAACTGCATGCCGCCAAGTCAACTCTGACTTTTGGTGACTCTCTCCAGGGTCTCAGAAGTGCTTTCTCATTCCCTTCCTCTAGGGGGCAGCCTTGGGACTGTGCAGCTTGCCCAAGGCCAACCAGGCTGGTTCTGCTTTGCAGGACGTGCAACGTGCCCAAGGCCACCCAGGCTGGTTCTGCTTCGCAGGAGCCACAGTGGGGAATCGAACTCCCAACCAGCCAGACACCTTAACCAGTGAGCCCATAGGAAAGTACAAGGGAATTCAAGGGAACATTCCGGGCTTTGTTGTTGTTTTGTGCCATCAGGTCACTTTTGACTTCATGAATGAATGACCCCTCCCCCCCCAAAAAATAAGTCCTGCCATTAACAAACTTGCTCAGGTCTTTAAAAAAGGAAAGACTAAGGTTCCTTTACTAAGTCAGTCCATCTTAGGCTTGCTCTTCCTCTCCTCCTGACGCTGCCCACTTCTTGTGATACGCTCCGTGCTCATGCTATACGATCTCGGTGTCAGGCTCAAATGGCTATTTAGTGCTGTGGTTGCTGAATTTTCCAAGTTAAACTTGCCTAACACAGACTCACTGGGCTGAAAATGCATTAGAGAGCTGTTAAGAGAGTTTTGCATAGGATTCTGAGACATGCTTTCTTATTTAATGTGGCATTTCATCTCAAGTTCGTTATGTTGTCACCTTAGCATCAATCATGATTGGACTTTGCAACACACTCGATTTTCTCCCATACTGGTGCACTTCCAAGGAAGTAAGAGAACAATGTCAAATCCCGGAGACAGTTCCATAACTTGGGGGTTTCTTGACCCCATGCCTGTAGTGTGGGCAGTTGTTGTTGTCATATGCCGTCAAGTCAGAATCAACTTTCATCAACCCTAATGGGACTTTCAAGGTAATTGAGATATTCAATGAGTGGTTTTACCAGTTCCACTCCCCCAACGAGCTTCCATGGCTGACTGGGGGTTTGAACCCAGGCCTTCTGAGTCCTAGTCTGCCACATTACCTACAGCATCACACTGGGATCCACAGAATGGGCAGAAGGGACTGTGAAAACATCATGGGGAAGGCCACATGTCGCTAATCCCCATGCAAGGCAGTGTGGAACGGAGGAAAGATGCCCAAAATCTCGACTTATCACAATCAAAGTGAGTCATTACCATTCCTCATAAGCACAGCTGGTCAAGGATCAACCCTCGTCAACCTCTTGAACTTCTCTCCAATGACCTCTTGAACCTCTGTCCAATGGTTCACAATCAAAGTGAGTCATTACCATTCCTTATAACCACTGGTCAATGATCAACCCTTGTCAACCTCTTGAATTTCTGTCCAATTACCTCTTGAACCTCTGTCCAATGGCGCTGAGCTTCCTAATGTTGGGTCTGGCTACACTCATTTGAGAAAGTCTCTATCATTAGAGACTTTCTCAAATGAGGGAGAAAGTCTCTAGAGACTTTCTCAAATGAGGACCACTTGGGTGTTCCTCACAAATCCAGTGGGGGAAAAAGCACCAGGGTTAAGAAAGAATAAAATCAAACCAAAAGCTAGCCACTGCCACAGAAGAATCCATGATGCATTTGTAGGGAACAAAAAGTATTATTTACAGAAGGAGATGTATCTGGTTCATACGCTGTATGCTATTAATACCATCATGCAGAACAAATGAGGACCACTTGGGTGTTCCTCACAAATCCAGTGGGGGAAAAAGCACCAGGGTTAAGAAAGAATAAAATCAAACCAAAAGCTAGCCACTGCCACAGAAGAATCCATGATGCATTTGTAGGGAACAAAAAGTATTATTTACAGAAGGAGATGTATCTGGTTCATACGCTGTATTCTATTAATACCGTCATGCAGAACATTAAAAAAGCAAAACAAACAAACAACCCAAAGGATTTAATTTTTTTCTCTCCAAGTGCATTCAAAAGCTGGGGAACAAAATTAAAAAAATCTAATCTTGTGCATGCTAGGGGTGGCAGGTCCTTGGGGGAAGGAAGAAAAGCCAAAATTATTAAAAAAAGTTGAAAGGATGAAAGAAAACAAATTGATTTCCAAAAAAAGGAAAAGAAATAAAAGAAATAAAAGAGAGAGAGATAGAGTAAGAGAGAGAGAGAGAGAGAGAGAAAGGGGGGAGGTTTACAGTGACCATTCCTGGGAACTTACTCAGAGTCTTTGTTCCATAACCGTCGTCACCTAATCCGGGGATGTCCTGCACGGGAGTCCCCAGAGAGAGAGCAATGAAAGAAAAGAACAGCCGCAGAACAGGAAGGAAGAAGTCAGTGGATTTGAAATGGATACTACCATGACAGACCATGTTGATCACCCAGTCTGGATTCCTGATTTCTTTGGAAACAGCTCCCTCCCCAACCCAGATTCCCAGGCCACATAGGACCCCATAGACCATGTTCATCTCCTTTTGGTTAAGTCGAGAAAGCGCACCTCTCTGTTCAAACAACCGGCCCAGAATTGAGATTCTTTCAAAAGGTAAATCTGTTTGAGACAGAGACGGGAGAATTCGGAAGTAGGGAAAACTCCTTTGTTGAAGGCCTGGGACTCCCAAAATCCTTCCATCAGCATGGCTGTTTTGAGAGTTGTCTTCCAAGAAAGGAACTTTTTCAACCCTTGGGAGAGCCGCCCACTTTTTCGGGTCGAAGACCAAGGGTGTGAAGATCTCAGCTACAGCTAGGTTCCTAGCCAACTTTGGGATTATAAACTCTGAAGACTTCAGGTTCTAAACCAGTGGCTCCCAACCTTGAGTCTCCAGAGGTTCCTAGACTACAACTCCCGGACGCCTTCATCGCTAGCTGTGCCGGCCAGGATCTCTGGCAGTTGTAGTCCAAAACCATCTGCAGACCCAATGTTGGGAAGCAGAGTTCTGAACAATGAAATGGATCTATGCATTTGGTAGGCAAGCCGGGGGATGTAAATCTTGCAACTTTCACTTTTAAAAAGGGAGGAATTGTGCGTAGATATGTATGTGGAATTTGCTGTAGATTTGATATGTATGTGGAATTCACTGTAGATGTCATGTGCTGTAAAAGAGTAACTGCAACAAGTTATCTTAAAATATCTAGTTTTCTGCCGGGGGGCTGCTAGAGGTCCAGAGAAGCCTCTTGACCTAATGGTTAAACTGCAGTATTCCGTTAAAACTCCACTCAAGGTCAGAATTTGATCCCAGTGAATGCTGGCAGCCGGCTCAAGGTTTACTCAGCTTTCCATCCTTCTGACATTGGTAAAATGAACTACCCAGTGTCCGGTGGAGGTGGGCCCATGTAGCCAGTTTAATCAAATGGTAAACCACTGAGAGAGGGCTTTAAGGGGCAGTATATAGGCGGAACACTTTTCACCCATACGCTCCCAGCCCCTCAGAGGGCTGCAGCCATTCCCACTCAATTCCATCTCCCATATTTCTTCTTATAATTGATTTTACTGACAAAGTCCCTTGTACTCTATGGATCCATTTTTATTTTGAGGACTATAGAGTCTTGGAGTGTTGGAGGGGCCTAAAAACATGGAAAGGTTTGCTCCCGTTCTCTTTGGAGGATGCGAGAGGACTCTTGGGACTCTTGATTTTCTGCCATTTTCTTTAAAATTGGTGTTTGAGAGACTAATGAGGGAGGGGTTTCTTGGGTCCCTGGGGAAGTTGAACGTGATCTTCAAAAATGGCCTGAAAACCTTGGCCGTACTTTAACCTTCAATACGACCTCTTATCAACTCAAATAAATGCCATCCCTACAAACAAACAAACAACAACAATAACAACAACAAAAACACCAGCACACATACCAAACACTCATTTGTATCTAAAGGACAAGTTCTAAAAGTGGTCGTTGATTAAATTAGACAAATAAGTTGCCCATGTATTTTCCTTTCAATCAATAGTGTCGCCTGGGGGGCGGGGGAGAGAGAGGTGATCTGAATAATAATAATTGTTGTTGTTGTTGTTTAGACTTATGGGGTAAAAGGGGCGAATGACTGCCATGCTGTGACCCTGATGTAATATATATAAACAGATTTTCTCATCCTCTACATTTTCAAAACAAAATGATTAGCTCCTATGAGACTTCATTCTCCTAAAGAAGAACAAAAAGACCAGAGTGTTCTCTTTTTTGTGTGCATGTGTTTTAGGAACAGTATTAGTAATAAATAAATGGATGAGGAAATTGATCTTTGTGCAAAAACATATGGTTTGTCTTTTAAAAACTTCTGCAGAAAAGCAGTGGCAATCTCACTGAGCAAGGAGAAACTTTCCTAAACTTTCCCCTTTCACCTGTGTGAGCAAAATGAATGAAGAATATTTATATCTCTAACTTTGATCTAAATACTTGTCCCTCCCCTGAATTAAATGGTGAGATGAGTGCCCATCAATGAATTCTGAAGTCATGACCCATTTGACTCTGATCTCTAGCTATCCCAA